TATTTTGGTTGATTCTTCCCAAGACATTGTACCAGTTGAGACACTCACCAACAACAAACAGAAGGGTCTGCTTCCTCCCTCCTCTGCCACTGTCTACATTTCTTTAGAAGAGCCTATCATGTATTGGGTCAGTCAACAAATATTGAGTAAGCATCTGCTCTGTGGCATATACTGTCCTAGACACTGGGGACATAAAGTCTAATAGGACATTGCTCCTGCTTTCAGTAGCTTACAGCCCAAAGAAGGGACAAAAGGAGCAACAGTGACTACAGGACAGTGCTTTCTGGGCTGGGATATGTGGGTGCAGAGGAGCTATAGGAGCTTAGAAGAGGTGACACTCTATCATTCTGGCGCATCAAGGAAGCTTCCTGGAAAGATTGGCACCTGGGCTGAATTTTGAAACAAGAGTAAAGGTTAACCAGAGGAATAAAGATACCATCTAGTGGGGAGGGGTGGGGAGGAGTGCAGGCTGTGGGAGGAGGCAGTCTGTATAAGCAGGATGGAGAATTGTGGTTCTTGGGAGTAACTGAAATCAAAGGTGCAATCCAGGGAGAGAAGGAGGAAATGGAGACATAAGAGGAAGTATGCCATGAAGGATTTTCTTTCAAGCTCAGGCATGAAGGTTCCTGTTTATTTCCTATTGTGAATTCCTATAGCAACAAATTACTGACCCAACCTGTGATAGTCACCCATCTGAACTTGAGTGAGGAGTTATTATACTGAAAGAAAAATAGCAGGGTAGAGTTAGGCCTACTTTTCCCAGCCTTCATTGTGGGAACACATCCCAGTCAGAAAGGAATGGAAACAACAGGGTTGCCATGTAACATGGACCTTTGCTACTCAAACTGTGGTCCTCGACCCAGCAGCATGAACACCACCTGGAAGTTTGTCAGAATTACCAATGCTCAGGCCCCACTCAGAGCTGCTGAATTAGAATCTGCATTTTAATGAGATACACCGTCGACATGTGTACATATGAAAGCTTGAGAAATGTTGGCATAGTGTTAAACATAGTGTTAAAGCAATAAGGCTTTGGCATCAGGCAGTACCAAATTTAAGTCCCAGCACATTATCTGCAATTTTGTGACCTGGAATAAGTTACTTAACGTCAATGAGCTTCATTTGCTTCATAATTCAAGTGGAATGATACTAACTATATCAATGCTCTTAGGATGATGAGATAATAGACATGAGAGCACTTAGCCCAGTGCCTGACTTTGCTATGCATTCTCAATAAGTATACTGTAATGATAATAATAGGACCCTTGAGGATATTGTTTGAGCTCAAAAATCACCCTCCTCAAAGAGGGTTTGTATGCATTTCAGGTGTTCTACAATGGAAGGAAATCCAACTAGTTGAGTGTCTGCCTGCCACAATGTTCTTATGTAAAAAACTGGTGGCCCCACAAATTTATATTTCTTTTTCTTCAGAGAAATAGTCTGGACAATGGCCAACAGTGGGTGAGGACACTGCTTTCTTTCTAAGTGCTCTAAGTGCCAGGTTTCCAAATGTTAATGGACCATATGGGAAACCAGTGGGCTAGAGCAAAAGGAGCCATGAAGAGCCTTGCTCTGTGGGAACAAGTTTGTGGTGACTGGATAAAGGTTAGCTGACATCTGTTCCAAGCACCTGCAGGATAAGCCAGGGCCTTTTGCAGAGAAGGCTTTTGTTTTAATTCATTGCTACAAGATTGGATGGAAATATATTAAAGAATAGTTTTAATGAAGAGACAGCAGGAGTTAATCAGTGGTGAGGTATCATGGCATCCTAGAGGTTTCAGTTAACAAATGTTTTGCATGCTTGCAATCCACCAGGCACAAGAGATACATCAGATACAGTCTCTGCCCTCATAGCACTTATAGACCAGACAGCAAATAAATATGGAATAAATAACTTGAAACATTTTAACTGTGTCAGCATTCAGAAATACATAATGCATAGCTTGGAGGAAAGCAGTGTGCTGTAGGAGGACTGGGGTCAGGTGGTGTGAGAACTGTCCTAGTTCTGACCCTAAATCAATGTATGATCTCAAGCAGTTTCCCCCTCTCTGACACTCAATTTTGGCATCAGGGAAATAGGGGATTTAGCTTTGACAGCTCCAAGTTTGTTCCTCAACTTTAAGTATCTGTGGTGGTAAGATTTAACAGCATCACCTTATTCATGTGCCCTGCCCCCAAAAAGAAGCCTATTTTCTGAAAAAAGAAACTTTCCATAATCCCTTTTATTACTCTTATGGACTATCTGTTGAGCCTTAGGATTAGCTATACAAATGCATCTATTTTGTTTGAGACGCCCAGTGTCAAGTCTCAAAGGCCACTTCCTTGACATGCAGGATCTTGCCTGATATGGATGTTAAGATTATGAATTCTAGAGTCAGACTAACTGAAATCAACTGAAGGAATTCATTGCACTTACTGTGTGACCTTGGGCAAGACAATCAACTTCCTTGGGCATCAGTCTCCTCATCTGAAATACAGAGGTAATTGGGAGGATAATGGTACTAAACAGATAATGTTACCGCAGGGATGTAATGAGATCATGGATGTACCAGCACGTAAGAAACACCACGTGAATAGGAGCTCTCGTTACTATGTTGAGAAATGGGTTTGGAGTTCCTTGAGTGGTATTGGTGACTTGATGGCAGACACTGGATGGTCCCTGGAATCTGGTTTTAGAAGTTTGCAGAGAAACATTAATAAGAGAACATAGCTGCTTTACTGTGACCACAGAAATGAAGACCTTAGACTAGCAGTTCAGGGGTGTGAGCTCTGATTCTGGCTTTACACTAACTCACTAGGTGACTTTGTTCAAATCAGCTGTCCCTATGAGTTTTAATTAAGTCAGGATTCATTTTTTCTCAACTTGGGACTATGAGAATCTGATGAGGTTGTATAAATGACATGCTTGGGAAGGTAGGAAGAGCTTTACAAATGTGAGCTCCTACTAGGAAGACTGGAGTCAAAGGCAGAGAGCATGGAAAATATATGTGTTCCCTTCTCAGGTTTTCTGGAAATAAGGATGCCACATACCATCCATAGAACAACTGGATGGTTCACAGTTGTTTGCAGGGCAATGGAAGGAAATGAAGATCTGATTCAGTTTTATTAGCACTTCTTATCCTTCTGATAAGCAGACTTTTTTCCGGAAGTTGTCATCTTGAGATGGTATGAACAAGTTGGAGTGTGAGTGTTGACTCTTGGAGAGCACTCAGAAAGAAGGCTGGCAGTCTTGAAGAGTGTGTGCTCCATTCTTGTGGGGTATGTCTGAGTTTCCCCCTCCCTGGCTCTCACCTGTGCCAGCAGCCCTAGGGCGGACAGAATCAGAACTCTGGGACTCATTGCATTTGGTAGTCAGAAAACAGTCTGAGGCCTCTTTTCCCATGGGATTTTTTAAAGTCTCAACTTGGGTAAAGCTCACTGATTGTCAGTCTTCACCCTGCACAGATTAATCAAGATTCTCTCAGTCTATCTTTCTTAGCCATTGACTCTCTTCTAAACCATGATTTAGCTGTGAACTCTGAACACTGGCAGGAATGGTCTTACATGAAAGCCTTGCGCAAAATGGTTTTGTCATATCTAACCATTGAGAGCTGGCATTTATTGAGCTTCTGCTTCAAAAGAGCTGGACTTAGAGCTCTAGGAAATACAGGCTCATGGAAAACCCAACTCTCTATCTTTGAGGCTCTTACCTTATCTCTAGAGAAATTAAACATGAATTTAAAATACAGGCCAAAGCAAGATGCCAGCAGGGAGGTGGACAGAGCCAGACACCATTGCTACCACCACCTCTGCTCTGGGTGTTTAAGGGCTCACTGCTTGGGAGAAGCTTTTCTGGCATTAGATTCCTGGGGTAAAATAAAGGAGCCAGAGCAAGAGAAAATAAATAAACCAACAAATAAAATGTAGGTCAATATGTAGTGAATTCCAAATAGATGGTTCAAGTGGTAACTTCTACAAATATGTGAAAAATTGGAAAACCATGAGTCAGATCCAGCCCTTCTTTTCTTTTCTTCTAAAAAAAGAATAAGAAGAAAAGAAAAAAAAAATAGGCCATGCATCATCTTTGCTTTATCTTGCAAAATCAAGAGATTTGGCAAACTAGACCAGTATTGGAGCATTTCATTCAGCAGAGCAGTAGCTACCCTTTAGACAGGGGTAGGACTTGCCAGGTCTCACAGCTCCTACCACCCCATCATGTCCTCATCTCTATCTTGGTCCATTTTCTTCATTCACTTTACATGCCTGACTCCTATGGACACTCTGAATTAAGAACCTGCTATTGTGGTTCAGTAGAAAGAGGATTCATTGTGAGCTATATAGGACCTCATGGACAAGCGGGACTTCCCATGGTTATTAAAGTCTAGGTAGGATTTTGGTAGATAGAAAAGGGTTTTTCAAGCAAAGTGTGATCTGAGGCATACAGGAGGAATATACATCCAAGAGGCAACAAATAGACCACCAGACTGAGCTGAGGGTCCATGTGGAGAAGTGTGGGAATAAACAGTGAAAATGTAAACTGTGAAAGAACCTAGATGCCAAATAATTGATCATGCTAACAATGGATATCCCTGAGGGTTTTTTGAAGTCGGGAATATGAGGGAGGAAAATGGAATTTTAGGAAGACTGTGTGGGTGATACATAGGAAGGATTTGGGGAAAAAACGGTGAGAGGCAACCACATTAGTTTAGAGGCTGGCACAAAAATCCAGGATTGAGGGTTAGAGGGTCTCAGCATGGCTGGAAGCAAGGGAAATGAGGAATACATGGTGTGGAGACACTGAGAGGGAATAACTGCCAGCACCTGGTAATAGATGGTCATGTGGCACTGAGAGGCAGGAAGAAATCAAATAAGAATTGGCAATGACCAGACCTATGGGAGAGAGAAGCATGATGGATGCATGACAGCAGTGAAGATGCATTATCTTTTCCCCAGGCACGTTAAGAATCTTCAGGAGTGGGCTTTCTTCCCAGAAGACTCTCATTCTGGCCTTTCTCTTCCAGGAAAAAGATGTGACTCCAGATAAAAACCTACTGACCAAGGTTCAAGACGCTGCCCTGTGGCTGGAGACCTTGTCAGACAGCAGACCTGCCAAGCCTTCCCTCTCCACCACCTCCTCCATTGCCGATTTCTTCCTTGCCTTAACCATCTGCAACTCTGTCATGGTGTCCACAACCACCGAGCCCAGGCAGAGGGTAAGGACCAGCGATGGCTGCGGGGAGAGGGAGAGGAGGTAGAGAAGTAGAGGCAGGGTAGGGGCAAGGGGAGAAGTTCTGATCAGGGAGACATGAAATTTGAGTCCTAGCGACAGCGTCACCATTTCTTTACAGTGAGAGCTAGAACAGGTCTCTTACCCTCCCTGGGTCTGTTCCCTCATTTTTTAAATAAAATGGAAAAAGATATATATGAGCTTTTGTGTACCTTTCAAACTTTGTCTATCTGCAGGATAGACATTATAAGTGATTACTGAGCACTTGGCTATATGCCAGACTCCATGCCCAACACTTTACCTGTATTATCATTTAATCCTCTCAACCCAACAACTCTGTGAGGCGAGATCTTGGATTTAATAGGTGAAGAAATAGTGGCTCAGAAAACTCAAGTAAGGTAATGAAGGACATATGGCTCATACATGGTAGAACTATCTGCATGATTCCACAATACTTTCTAGTCATTTTGTGCTATACTGCTCTCTGTTTTTATAAATGGATTAAAAACAATAGTGTGTGTGATGTTCTTCCCATGGAAATAATGCAGCGGGATGGTCATGTATGTAAAGTTATACTCTGAAATCTACTGAAGGTGGATTTGCCTTCAATCCTCCATAGACTCTCAGCCAAGCTCCCTTGTGAGTCACTGATGAGAATAATCAGGTGGTACAGCTTGCAACTATGAAACCAAGACAAGATGTTCCTTTAGGCACTAAACCACAACCTCCCTTCATAATGCCCAGATTCTAAATCACCCTGAAAATCACTTCACCACTGAAAAGTGAGCAAGTTATCAGAAGTCTTCAGGAAGTTTTAGGAGGCAGAAAGCTTAATCTTAAAAATTAATTCTATTTTTAAGAGGGGAAGAAGTATCATGTGGCAAAGGACAGTATACAACTCCCAAATTTCAAGTTAATGTGGGAGCTTCAGCTGGCAGGTGGCTCAAGAGCCCAGCCTCTGGAGTCAGGCAGACCCAGGTTTGCATTCCATCTCTACTGCCTATACACTGGGTGATCATGGCCAATTTATGTAGACTCTTTGTACCTCAATGTCCTCAGCCGTAAGTTGGGATGATGATAGCATTATTGGGAGGATAAATGAGATACTGCACTCAAAGATAAAGCAGAAGCCTTTGCGGTGAGAGTTCAGGAAATGTGAACCTTACTATGAGTGTCTGATTCTCATCTCCTTTTCCTTCATTTGTCCACACCGAGAGTTGGATGATCAAAAGATAGTGGAAAATGACCATTGTCAATGCTCAGAAGGTCAGGGCTGGAGGGAAACATCTGGCCTCACTTATTGCAAAAGTACTTTCATATTCTGCATAAGACAACTTGGTATTATTTTCAACACTGAGAGTAACGTTCCACTTTCCTCCTTTGGCCACAAGGTTACCATCAAACCCTCAAGCAAGGCTCTGGGGATGTCCCTGGAGAAAATTCAGCAGCTCTTCCAGAAGTTGAAGCTGTCGAGCCTCAGCCAGTCATTCTCGTCCACTGCGCCCTCTGACACAGATCTGGGGGAGAGTTTGGGGGCCAACGTGGCCACCATGGACTCGGACGAGAGAGACGATGCATCTGTGTGCAGTGGAGGTGACTCCACTGATGATGGTTTCTACAGAAGCAGCACGTGGGACCAGAGTGACATCCTGGAGTCTGGGTCAGGCACGTCCTTGGAGGAGGTGCTGGAGGCTCCTGCCCCAGGCCTGGCCAGTCCCGAGTTCTGTTACGAGGCTGAGAGCCCTGATGAGGCCGCCTTGGTGCACGCTGCCCATGCCTACAGCTTCACGCTAGTGTCCCGGACACCTGAGCAGGTGACTGTGCGCCTGCCCCAAGGCACCTGCCTCACCTTTAGCCTTCTCTGCACCCTGGGATTTGACTCTGTCAGGAAGAGAATGTCTGTAGTTGTGAGGCACCCACTGACTGGCGAGATCATCGTCTACACCAAGGGTGCTGACTCGGTCATCATGGACCTGCTGGAAGACCCAGCCCGTGGTGAGTCCCACCTTACCAGGGTTCCGGGAACAGAGAGCGCCATAGTTTAAGAAGCAGTGTGGAATGGCAATAAGAAGCTCAAGTTGTAGTGTCACCTGGTAGTGCAGGTCCCAACTGGAATACAGACTCACAAGTTGCTTTCCTCAAATATCCTTAAAACATGCTGCATTTTACATCTCCTTGACTTAGGGAATCACAGGGTTCACTAGCATAAAGACTGTCCAGTCTTGTAGCAAATCAACATCTTTAACTTCATCCCAGTTTTCCAAGCTCATTTAAACATGGATTATCCACACACAGTCTTTTGCAATAGAGCATCCATTATCTTACCATGAAACACACTGTGGTCTTAACTCTTCATTTTGGAGAAAAGCAACTCAACCCAGAAAGAAAAGTTACTTACAAGAGGCAACATGGTTAACTAGTGTTAAATCCCAGACCCAGGTCTCCTGAATTCCAGGTCAAAGCTCGTTTCATACTGCTAGAATTCTCCATTGGGCTTGGTGCACTCTGGGAAGCCTCAGGTGTTCCTCCTTATTATCCTTTTCCCCAGCCTCCCCCAGATGGATTTTCATAAACTTGTGCTGAGCCAGAAAAATGTTCCAATGTCCCAACATATCAGTGTCCAATTTTGGAACAGCATGAATTAGTGTGCAGCCGCTTCCTGATTGCTAACAAGGAGAAGACAGTTATGAGGCTATGATTCTCCCAGGATAGTAGATTCCAGCCAAGCTTCAGAATTGCCCAGGCAGCCCTGTGCCTCCTACATTATCAGCTATGGATCATGGCCAAGAGGTTTAGGGGATTGATTAGTTTTTAGAATTGGAAGGGAGCTAATTAGTTCTCTTTATCCCCAGACTCTGGCAGACAAATGAATCCAGTACTTCTGAGTCAAGGGAGCCTCGGCAGCAGACATTCAAGCTGCCCTGGAGATGTCTCTTTATTTGCTCCTCACCTGACTGCAAAATGGATTAGAGATGCTTTCAATAAAAGACATACACAGTGTTACTGTAAGAATTGAGAAGCAAAACTTTGAAAGGAGAGAGAAAATAACCCCAGGTTTAATAATATTCATGGTGTTTAAATGTTGAATTTGATGCTGAGGTTCCTGGCAGCCTAAGCAAAAAGGTAAACTCCAAGACTTGCACATAAAACACAAGAAGGTTTCATCTTAGGAGCTGGTGTCTTTAAAAATAAAATAATTGTAAATAGTGCTGAATCAGACAATACACAAATGAAGACTATGCTTAAGGCATCAGGAACACCCAAAAAATTAGAAAACCATCTTTGGAACAAGTTTTATATAAAAACAGCCTTGGAGTAGTATCATGGGGAAATTGGAGTTTTGTTGGACTTCATTAAACTTAACTTGTTGTTAAGAATTATATTTTTAATTTTACATTATATACAAGGATGGGTGAGGTATACAAATTCTGTTCGTTCTTAGGACCTCTCAAATTCTCAATCCAGCCCTGGTAAAGAAGGATTCTGAAGCCTAAGCTCAGTGTTACAAGCGATTGATAAGTGAGGTCTGCAGCAGCTTAGAAAAAGGAAGTGGTGATGGCATCAGTCCCGCTCCACACCAGCCAACCCTGGCTGAAAAATTCTTATTATAGAATTAGATAAAGGAACTGGAATTTCAAGAGAAAAAGACAAATTACCTCTGACAGAAACTTATGTAGAACTTCACAAAGGGGCTTTGAGCAACACACATATTTTTCACACTAGATTCATTGGAAATGCAAAAAAAAAAAAAGTTTTCTCTAAAACTATTTTTTGCATTGAAAGAAAGCCTAGCTCAGCAAAACAAATATGGCAAAGAACTTAGCTAATGAGATCCAGGCTTGTAGATGTCTTGGGACCTAACTTGATATAAGACCTCGAGGAGAAGACAGAGAGGATGATAAATAGACTTAGAGAACAGTTTCCAGAGTCAGTTGGCCATCCAGGGAAAAACTAAAAACACTTTAGATAACAATAAAGATTCAGACTTCTAGTCCCCTGATTCAGCTGGGCTTTTACTGGACTTGAGAATCTCTATTATTATTAAGGTGGTTCTTATGCAAACAGGTGTTTGGGAATAGTACCTTATACCACCTACCTTCCTTAAATAGCACTTTACTCAGCTAGGCTTTTGATGAGAAGAGGTAGAAAGCAGACAATTTAAGGACTCCCTGCATTATCTTCCAGGGCAGCCTGACAGTCAGGAGAGCTCCTTTATGTTTCTAAGGTGGGCTGTAAGGGATTCCTTCTCTAAAGCATGTGTAGTCTACTAAAGAAGATTCCAGGGTGTTGGGGATGGGGATCCCTGAGCATTTGTACGTGGCCTCATGGGGGACAATGGTTATTTGACAGTGCCTGACACTGACGTAGAAAAGAAGCTGAGAAAAATCCGAACCCGGACCCAAAAACATCTAGACTTGTATGCAAGAGATGGCTTGCGCACTCTATGCATTGCCAAGAAGGTAAGAACAAATTCCTCCAAGCATGCTCTCAGTATCATTAAATAGCTGAATGGCCTTGACACTGCTTCTTTTTCTTTATAAAAGACCCTTAGAGGTGGTCGTTTTAACATTTTTAAGATTAGCTGTTCTGACTCACCACAAAAACCGAAGACACTGACGATTTTGCTGACGCCAAAATCTGAAGAGTTAGGTTCCATATCAGTGTGGCTTTGCCATGACCTGCTTTTCATTATATGTGTAATGGGTAACCCACAAATCATGAAATAATTTTTTCAGTTATAATTTTGCTTTCCAATGACATTTTTTAGATTTGTATTATTTTCCTTTAAATTTGGGGAGCTTTTATATAGTCACATAAAAATCTAGATTTCTGATTTCTTTGAAAAATTTAGAGGATCTGGCCAACCCTGTCTTTATTCTGGAATGCAGCAATCAGCTACAACCGGGAAGAAGTTGATCCTATGAGGAGGCATGTGTTTAGCTGTACTCTGTGGTTGACCACAGTCCTTACCACTCCCCCATTGCATTGCACTCAGCCTAGCCATAGTTTTGTAGATTACCTAACTCACACTTTGCAGATATTTGACTTTGCAGCCTCTGCAAGAAAGGCAGGCAGTGAGGGCTGTGAATTGGACACTGAATGAGGCACCTAAAAGCAAGCTAAGAGGGATCCTATTATGGGCATACATTTCTAGATGGCTAGAAGTGTTTCTCTTGCATAAATCTCAAGGGCTTTTCATCTCTTTTATGGTTCTTAGGGCAGCATTAGTGATCACGAGTGCCCACTCTAAAGCCAGCCACCTGGGTAGTAGTCCCAATCTCACTACTTTTAGATGTGTGACCTTGAGTAATTTTTTCACATTTCTGAGTTTTATCTTTTTTACAGATATGGTGCTAATCAGCTCTCCCTCGTGTAGTTGTCATGGAGATTAAAGTAATCACATGTGCAGCACCTGGGACAGTGACAAAAGCTCCCACTACTTCGCATTGGAATTACACACTTATCACCTACTATTTTCTATTTAAGTTATTTGTGCATGTTTTGCCTTCCCTAATGGACTAGGTTTCCTCAGAACCAAAAGGCCTACTTGTGTCCCTTTGGTTTTCTCTATTGTGCCATGCAGAGAAACTCAAGGAATATTTGATGCTTGGACAAAATAATCTTTCATTGCTCTAAGATACCCTATGCATGTAATACCAACAGAAGGGTCTAAAAGTGCTATGGAACTCTGAGGGAGGAAGACGTGGCCACTAGCTGGATTATTCCAGCTTCTGGGCACTCCATGTGTATGACATCATGCCTGGTGGAGTGCTCTACAGGCTATGCAAGATCTGGCTGCTGCTTTCTTTCCAGCCTCATTTCTGAACTTTCTCCACTTTTCTCTCCATCCTTCCACCACCTGAAATATTCAAGGAACAGAAAGAAGGCCAAGTTGATTGCTGTTCCAGAGCCTTAACTCTTGCTCTTGCCCTTGACTGACCCTTTGTCACTGGATCTCAGTTTGCATGTCATTTCGTTGAGGAAACCTGAACTTCCAAAAGAAGGCGGCCCCCTATTCAGTTATTCTTCTGTCCTATCACATTTCCTCATATCACCCTTTTTTAAAACGGTGATTATTCTTTAAAATTATTTACTTGGATAATACCTCTCACTCTCCACCAGCATATAAGCTCAGGCATAGAGGGACCTAGTCTGTCCAGATCATCGCCAGTGATCTGAGCACAGTAGGGGCTCAACAGATTTTTGGTGGTAATGAAACACAAGGATAACTATTAATTGATTTACATATTTTAAGAAATCATTGAGAATAAAGCCCCATCTAATTATGTAGGGAAGGTCAAACAGGCCAGTAGGAGGCCCACCAGATGGGAAGAGAGGAAATTATCTTGTTGATTCACCCAAGGTTATTAAGGAGCCTTTTCTCGTCCCATAGGTTGTAAGTGAAGAAGACTTCCAGAGATGGGCCAGTTTCCGGCGTGAGGCTGAGGCATCCCTTGACAACCGAGATGAGCTTCTCATGGAGACGGCACAGCATCTGGAGAATCAACTCACCTTACTTGGTAGCTAAAAATAAGTCGTCATTATAGGAAAAAAGGAATGCAGCAAGTTGAGAAGGGAGCTCTTGGCCCTGATTCTGACACTACTAATATGTCTCCATTAGCACCCTTCCCTGGGGTTCCCTTCCAGGTATTTGGCATAAATGGGCTGTGCCAATACCCAACCCAGATGCCACGCACAGCTTCCTGAGATGTCCTGGGAGCATTCCTGCACTCCCTGCTAAAAGAAGCCTCTGAGTTTGGCTGCTTCTCTAACAGCACACTCTTCCCTTCATTCAAATGTTTGCTAAACACCTACTCTCTTCCCTTCATTGAAATGTTTGCTAAGCACCTACTGTATACCAAGTGATATGCTAGGCTTTGGGGCTGCAACAGGAGCCAAAAACTCTGCTCTCCCAGAGGTTGGAGTCTAGTGAGGATATTGGATGACTGAGCAAGCAATTTCAACAAACTGTGATGAAAGCTAGGCTAGCAGATGGGCCAGGATGGAAGCACAAAGTAGGAGATGCCAGCCTAGCCCAGAGGTGAGGGAGTGTCGAGGAAGGCAGTGAACTGAAAGCAAGAAGAGAAGCTGGTCAGGCAGTGTGGGAGGACCCAAATGAAAGCCTGGAGGTCCGGGACTGGTGGGAAAGAGAGTGCTGGGGGAAAATGATGGAAGGGAGGAAAGGTCATCAGGACCCAGATTATGAAGGGCCATGTCAGTCACCTGCTAAATGTTTGGAGAAGGCAGAGGGTGAAAGCAGGGACAGATCTGTGCTTTACAAAAACTGCTTTGATTGCTGCAGCATGAAAGTTTGATTGCTGCACTGAGGGAGAGATGAGAAGCACAGAGACTGGTTAAGAGGCTGTGCTTCTGTTGGAGGAAAAGCATTGCCAAGAAGCAAGGGGGAGTTTTATTGCTCAGGATTAAGGTCCTCACGCCTCAGGAGCAATATCTTGGTAAGCAATGCCCAAACAGCGTGCACTGGCCACATGGCAAAAAGCCTTCTTTCTTCTTGGTGGACAATGTTGACCTGGGGATGAGGACCAAGTTCTAGACCCGCCATGACCTTGCTGTGTGCCCAGAGACACACTCCTCTGAACCTTGTCTTCTCCTCTGGATGAGACACATGCCTCCAGCTGCCCAACCAGACAGGAGTTCAAGGGGAAAGATCCAGGGGCACTGTAAAGTGGTGATGCTGGCAAGTAGGATGGCTGACAAGCTGAGGAGGGGGAGCAGGATTAGGGTGCACATTAGCTTCCCACATCCTTCAGCCTTTGGTTTCCTGTGTCAGCTGCAGAGGCCCCTGCTGGCTGCCTCATAAGGCTCCCTTTAAAGCTAAACCCAAGAACTCACTTGAACAAGAACCAAAGGATAGCTGGGCCAGACAACTGTATCTAATACAGGATGCCACCAGAAAGTCATCCCATTCAGGCAGGCACCTGATCCCCTTCTCCCCTCCCTGAGGTTTCTTTTGTTTCAGGACAGCACTCTAGGCTCAGTCTGTGAGAGATGTGCCTCTGGTTCTTCTACGTGAAGAGAACATACTTGTCAGAACCTGCCAGCTTCCCCTAGCTGGGAAAGGTTTTCACAACCTTCCTGTTTCATTTTCTCTTTCACACAAATAAATGTGTTTTTCCTCGTTTCTCCTTCACTCCACCTCACTGTAATATAAATCAGCTTCCTCTCACCTTCCAGACTAATGCTTGAAGGGGAAGATGAGGCTTGAGCCATCATTTTTTATGGGGTTGTTTACCTGCACATGTGGATCTCAGGTACAAAACAGGCACATTTCTGGAAAGTGGGGCTCTTTATCTCCCCTCAAGATGGCTGGGAAAGGAGAGGACTGGGCTGAGAAGAGAATTCAGCTTTCCAACAAGAAACTGGCACACCACTAAAAAGCTGTAATGCCTTCACACAGTCTCAAAATATGAAATGATCTTTTCAATATGCATCCAATGCAACCGCTTTGCCAACCTATTGTCACTCTGGATTATTAAAAGAAACAAAATGCCGTGCTCCTGCCCAGAGTGAAATGGGTAGCCATTAGTCTGTGATCTGAAATGAATCTCAATTGAAAAGCAGATTTATTTTTGCTTAATCACTTAGCAACTATTCAATATTTGGGTATATATTCATCAGGGCTGGTGCAAAGCTTGAGAGCCTTCAAAAATTATGGAATCTGCCTGTTTAATTCCCTCCAAGAATATTATCAAAAATGTCAGTCCCTATTAATTCTGCATTGATCAGTTGCAGGGCAAAGATTTCAGTCTTTCCATTGCAATTCCTATTGCTGCTCAGCCAGTCCAGGCCATTGTTACCTTTCCTCTGCAGTCCTGCCTGGCCTCCTAAGTAGCTTTCAGCACGGAATCTCATCCTGCTTTTCCAATCTCTAACCTGTTATCTAGAATGATATTCTTTTTTTTTTTTTTTTTTTTTTTGGGTGATAATTTCTTTTTTTTTTTTAAATTTTTTATTGGATTACAGGTTTTGGGGTACATGAGCAGAGCATGCAATACAGTTGCGTAGGTACACACATGGCAGTGTGCTTTGCTTTTCTTCTCCCCTTCACCCATATTTGGCATTTCTCCCCAGGCTATCCCTCCCCACCTCCCCCTCCCACTGGCCCTCCCCTTTTCCCCCCAATAGACCCCAGTGTTTAGTACTCCCCTTTCTGTGTCCTTGTGTTCTCATATTTCATCACCCACCTATGAGTGAGAATATGCGGTGTTTCATTTTCTGCTCTTGTGTCAGTTTGCTGAGGATGATGTTTTCCAGATTCATCCATGTCCCTACAAATGACACGAACTCATCATTTCTGATTGCTGCATAATATTCCATGGTGTATATGTGCCACATTTTTCCAATCCAGTCTATTATCAATGGGCATTTGGGTTGATTCCAGGTCTTTGCTATTGTAAACAGTGCTGCAATGAACATTCGTGTACATGTGTCCTTATAGTAGAACGATTTATAGTCTTTTGGATATATACCCAGTAATGGGATTGCTGGGTCAAATGGAATTTCTATTTCTAAGGCCTTGAGGAATCGCCACACCGTCTTCCACAATGGTTGAACTAATTTACACTCCCACCAACAGTGTAAAAGTGTTCCTTTTTCTCCACATCCTCTCCAGCATCTGTTGTCTCCAGATTTTTTAATGATCGCCATTCTAACTGGCGTGAGATGGTATCTCAATGTGGTTTTGATTTGCATCTCTCTGATGACCAGTGACGATGAGCATTTTTTCATATGATTGTTGGCCTCATATATGTCTTCTTTCGTAAAGTATCTGTTCATATCCTTTGCCCACTTTTGAATGGGCTTGTTTGTTTTTTTCCTGTAAATCTGCTTGAGTTGTTTGTAAATTCTGGATATCAGCCCTTTGTCAGATGGGTAGACTGCGAAAATTTTTTCCCATTCTGTTGGTTGCCGATCCACTCTAGTGACTGTTTCTTTTGCCGTGCAGAAGCTGTGGAGTTTCATTAGGTCCCATTTGTCTATTTTGGCTTTTGTTGCCAATGCTCTTGGTGTTTTGTTCATGAAGTCCTTGCCTACTCCTATGTCCTGTATAGTTTTGCCTAGATTTCCTTCTAGGGTTTTTATGGTGCCAGGTCTTATGTTTAAGTCTTTAATCCATCTGGAGTTAATTTTAGTGTAAGGTGTCAGGAAGGGGTCCAGTTTCTGCTTTCTGCACATGGCTAGCCAGTTTTCCCAACACCATTTGTTAAACATGGAATCCTTGCCCCATTGCTTGTTTTTGTCAGGTTTATCAAAGATTGTATAGTTGTATGTATGTTGTGTTGCCTCCGGTGCCTCTGTTTTGTTCCATTGGTCTATATCTCTGTTTTGGTACCAGTACCATGCTGTTTTGATTACTGTAGCCTTGTAGTATAGTTTGAAATCCGGTAGTGTGATGCCCCCCGCTGTGTTCTTTTTGCTTAGAATTGACTTGGCTATGCGGGCTCTCTTTTGGTTCCATATGAAGTTCATGGTGGTTTTTTCCAGTTCTGTGAAGAAAGTCAATGGTAGCTTGATGGGGATAGCGTTGATTCTGTAAATTACTTTGGGCAGTATAGCCATTTTCACGATATTAATTCTTCCTAACCATGAACATGGAATGTTTCTCCATCTGTTTGTGTCCTCTCTGATTTCGTTGAGCAGTGGTTTGTAGAATGATATTCTTAAAAGTCAGAACTGATTATGTCACTCCCCAGCATCACACCCTTGAATAGCTTTCTTTGCTACCAAATAAATTACAGATCCCTTCAGGCCCTGACAAGGATCTGCACAATCCAGCACCCCTGAGCTCCTTCTCTGTCCTCATCTCTCACCTTGCCCTGCCTCCATTTCTGTATCTTCCTCAACTCTGAGACTTCACATATGCTGATCCTTCTACCTGGAATTTTCCTCCTCTGCCACCTCTTTGCATTATCTCCCAGGTCTGAGTTTAAGTAGCACTTCCTCAGCAAAGCCCACCCTGATTTGCCAGGTGAAGTTCAGATCTCCTGGTATATATTCACGTGGTACCCTGACTTTCTCTCATTATATAGCTCAGTTATAAATTCTTATTCAATGACCTCTGAACTCAGAGGAAGCGACCAGCTCTATCCAGTTCACTGTTATATCCTGGATGCACAGCCTAGCACAACGATGCTATCTAATAAGCATTGCCTGGCTTCACAGGGCTTTGGGGAAATTAAGCAACTACTCTTTTACCATAAATGTGAACTCTGCTGTCTTTGTTCACTCCAGGAGCCACTGGGATCGAAGACCGGCTACAGGAAGGAGTTCCAGATACAATTGCTGCTCTTCGGGAGGCTGGGATCCAGCTCTGGGTCTTGACTGGAGATAAGCAGGAGACAGCAGTCAACATCGCCCATTCCTGCAAACTGTTAGATCAGACCGACACTGTGTACTCCATCAATACAGAGAATCAGGTGAGGCGATTCTCTGTATCTGCAGGTATTAAAGTGCAGAGCAGCCCTCAGCCAAGAGAACACAGGCTTGTAGGTGGGATTTGGGTACACCAGGGAAGCACCCAACCCCCAACAGATCACTGAATCTTGGAGTCTGGAGAACCCTGGAAGTCATCCAGCTCAGTATCCTTTATTTCATCCCCACACATGGCTGGCCGGTTTCTTTTACATTACTTCTGGCACTGATTATTAGAGCGTTTAACCTCTCCCAGATTCCACTGTGGTCTAGTCTCCCCATTTCCCCACAGATAAGGAAACTGAAGACTACTGGGACTGAGTCACTTGCTCAGGTTTACCCTGCTTGTTTCTGATACGTAGAACTAAGTCTAGAACTCTGTTCTCCTGCTGAGCTAGTGTGATTTACATTCTGCCACACTGTTTGCTGAAGAAACCTCAACTGTCAGTTTCTTTCTGTTTAAGACTAACTTATCCACTGAAAAAGTCCCAATTAAATTGCAATTATTCTGAGCTTAAAATTTCAGCATCAATTTATATGTCAAGCTGGTCTGCCACGGAGTAAAAACCTGAAAGGAATAATGCATGAAGCCAGTATGTTTTTATGGCATACGAAAAAGAAAGAATGAAGCAACGTTCTAAAAATTGCACGTTTCAACCAGAATAGATTAGATGGGTGGCAGGGAGTGAGGTTTGGAGACAAGAATGAGAAAGCTAAAGAGGCATATTCAAAGCTATAAGACAATTTTGATTTTAGGGGGAAGTTATCTGTTTTCACAATGCAAATTGCAGAAGGCAAAGTTCCATCACATCTTCTTGGCTGATGAAGGTGGGAGGCGGGCATTGAGATGTGTGCTCCTATCAGAGGAAGCAGGGATTAGATTCCATGGTGGATATTAACCAGAAGAGCACTGTACTGCAGAGATGTGGGCATAGGCCCTTAGGGCACTTACACCTAGGATACCACGGAGAAAAGAATAGAGAAAAGGGAAGAAGACAGAAAAAGGAGGGAGAGAGGACACTGAGCTCTTTAAGTTTTGCCTGAGGCTGATGTAGACCCACAGTAGAATGTTAGGGAAGTTTATATTTCATTTTTATTCCATGAAGCAACAATATACACCTCTTTTTAAAAACTGCCAGAGGACCTTTAGATGAATTGGAAAAATCATTTACTTTCCTGTCAGGTACACAGATTATTAGATTAAACCTTAATGAATTTTCAAAATGAAAATAAGCTCAGGGAAAACTTGGCTTTAATATTATGCTTAGGAAGAAAAGTAATTTTCAGCTTGCTTGAGTGCTTGATCCCCGTGCCTGTCTGTCCTGCTTGTAATGGAAATTCAGTTTGCAATGATTCTTTCACTCCAGGTAATGCTAGAAGGAGAACATCTGCAAACCAATGAGGCAGCCAGCCAGAGGGAGATTGAGTGGACTACCATGTGTTTTGCTAAATGCCATGCATTCCTTTAGGAAGCTGAAGATGTGCTCCTTGGTTAAACAGCGAAAGCTCCTAAGGAACAGTCAGCCATACTCCACCTTTAATCCAGTCCATGACAATTCTTTCTGTCCAGTATCCTCCAGGATAGTGCCTGAATCCTCAGTCATGCCTACATGCTTCAGCTCACTAAACCTGTAAGATTAGTCTTTTTATCCCTTTACCTGGGATGAAAAAATATATATATTAAGCCAGAAACTGGGAAATACATTCTAAATCTTAGATTTATTTAAACCCTAGTTCAATGTAGTTACATATTCAGTAAATATTTTCTCCAAGGTTTTTAATTTGCCTAATTCACTATGAATCGATTTAGGATTACTATCTCTTTGCTAGGTATGTTAAAGCACTAAGCAAGTTATGGGATCTACCTAGACCTCAGAATTCCCTTCCCAAAGATGAGAGAATTACTAACTAATCACTGGAAGTGTTCATCAGTCAAGGAATTTTAAAAGGAACTAACGTATTAGACAGGAACTAATACTAGCAACCACTATTACTGCTATTGCGACACATTGTTAATAATAATTAACAACATATATTGAAGTTTTAATATGGTTCAAACACCATACTACTTGAACTTCTATTCTCATCTGTAAAACAGATTAAACATATTAATCTCACAGATTTATTGGTAGGATTAAATAAGATCATAGAAGAAAACTTAGTATAGTACCTATGTTAATTATCTATTGCTACATAACAAATTACCCCAAATATTAGGAGCTAAAACAACAGACCTTTATTATCTTATGGTTTCTGTGGATTAGGCATTTGGGAGCATCTTAGCCGGGCACCCCTAGTTCAAGGTCTCTCTTGAGGTTGCACACAAGCTGATGGTCAGGGCTGAGGGCTCATCTGAAGGCTCAACAGGGTTGGGGGTTTGGGCATGGGAAGCAGTTCTGCTCATTCACCCATGTGACTGTTAGCAGGCATCAGTTTTTCACTCTCTGGGCCTCTCACAGGACTGCTACACAACACAGCAGCTGGTTTTCCCCAGGGCTAACCATACAAGAGAAAGTAGGAAAGAGCACCAAATTGGAAGTTACTGTCTTTTTATAACCTAATATGGGAGGTGACATCCCATTACTTTTTCCTTCATTAAAATCAAGTCTCTAGATCTAGCCCACATTCAATGAAAGGAGATTACACACGGGTATGAATATCAGGAAGGGGAAATCACTGGAAACTATCTTAGTGGCTTCCTACCACAGTATAGGACGTATACTAAATGTTCAATGAATGATAATTATTGTATTACTTTAAAGCTGGAAATAAGTAAATTCAGAGATTTAATTTAAAGCTTATGTCTCTAATAACTCGCTTTAGGCATACATTGGAGGAATTTATATAACTGGTGCCAGGCCCAGCCTCCAAAGGACCACTTTGATCTCTTTCAAAATAAGTGCCTCTGGTATAAGCACATACTTCAAGAACTGCTTCCTGTGGCCCCTCTGGGCTCTATGCATATTCTATTGCCTGCAACACACAGTTTAGCATCTTAAAGGTAGACTCAGGAATAATAAACTATGTCTCTGTTCTTTTCAAAATAAGTTATGCCAGGGCAGGGTGCTGTGACTCACACCTGTAATCCCAGCACTTTGGAAGCTGAGGCAGGTGGATCACTTGAGGTCAGGAGTTCAAGACCAGCCTGGCTGACATAGTGAAACCCTGTCTCTACTAAAAATATAAAAATTAGCCAGGTATGGTGGCACATGCCTGTAATCCCAGTTACTCGGGAGGCTGAGGCATGATAGTCACTTGAACCCAAGAGGCAGAGGTTGCAGTGAGCTGAGATTGCACCATAACAAAAAAGTTATGCCAGACATTTTCCCAGACAGAAATCTCTAGATCAGTGTTCCCTAGGCCGGTCCCTTCAGAACTGCTTTCACGATTTTTGACAAAATCCGTATATTGTAATTTTTTTACTTAATAATTTGTTGACTCACTTTGAATATTATTTTTTAGAAGAAACTTTTAGCATGTTTTAATAAATGAAAAATCATTGTTTCTTGCCATGGATGAAGGAACACTGTAAAACGAAGACCATGTGAAGAAAACAATGCTATTAAAATTGATAATGCTGTTTTCTACCACAACTATATTAAAAAGTGATGTTCAGAGAAGTTGAATTGATATCAAGAATAAATTTGAGCAAACGTCTGCCAAGATGGTCAAATAGCAACAGCTCTGGTCTGCAGTTCCCAACAAGAGCACGCCAGAAGACAAGTGATCTCCGCATTTCCTACTGAGGTACTAGGTTCATCTCATTAGGACTGATTAAACAGTAGGAACAGCCCAAGGAGGGCAACCCAAAACAGGCTGGGGCACTGCCATACCTGGGAGGCACAAGGGGCCAGAGACTCTTGCTCCCAGCCATGGGAAGCCATTAGGGACTCTTCCCGAAACTCCAACACTCCAGCTCAGATACTGCACTTTTCCCATGGTCTACAAAACCCATGGACCAGGAGATTCCCTCTGGCACCTACAGTGCCAGCACCCGGGGTTTCCAGCACAAAACTGGGTGCCCATTTTAGGCAAGTGGCACCTGGAATGCCAGTAAGACAGAACTGCCTGTTCCCCTGAAAAATAGGGCTGAAGACAGGGAACCAAGCGAGCTGGCTCGGCGGGTCCTACCTGCACCACCCCCACTACCACCAAAGATGGGCAAGCTAAACCGCATTGGCTTGAAATTCTCACAGCCAGCACAGCAGTCTGAGATCAACCTGGGATGTTCAAGCTTAGTGGGAGAAGGGGTGCCCGCTTCAACATTGCCTGTGTAAACAAAGCCACTACCTCTGGGAAGCTTCCACAACAGCTGGGCAGAGCCCAGCACTGCAACTCAGCAAGGCCTCTGCAGCAGACTGTCAAGTAGATTCCCTTCTCACCGTGCAGGGCATCTCAGAAAAAAAAAGACAGCAGCCCATCAGGGACTTACAAAGCCCCTACCTTCCTGGGACAGAGCACCTGGGAAAAGGGGCAGTTGTGGGTTTTGCTTCAGCAAACTTAAATGTCCCTGCCCAGCAGCACTGAAGGGAAAAACAGAGCCTCCAGAACAGTGCTTGAGCTCTGTTAATGAATAGGCTGCCTCCTGAAGTGGCTCCCTGACCCCACATGTATATGTATCCTATCTGGGAGACACATCATACAGGAGAGCTCTGGCTGACATCTGGCAGGTACCCTTTTGGGACGAAGTTACCAGAGGAAGCAACAGGCAGCAATCTTTGCTGTTCTGCAGCCACCATGGGTGATTCCCAGGCAAGCAGAGTCTGGAGTGGACCTCCAGAAACTCCAGCAGACTTGCAGTAGAGGGGCCTGACTGTTAAAAGGAAAACAAATAAACAGAAACAAATAGGTTCAACATTGACAGAAAAGACGCCCACTCAGAAACCCCATTAAAAAGTCACCAACTTCAAAAACCAAAGATAGATAAATCCATGAAGATGGGAAGGAACCAGTGCAAATAGGCTGAAATTGCCAAAAGTCAGAACACCTTTTTTTCTCCAAGGGACCACAACCCCTCATCAGCAAGGGAACAAAACTGGATGGAGAATGAGTGTGACGAATTGACAGAAGCAGGCTTCAGAAGGTGGGTAATAAACTTCTCCAAGCTAAAGGAGCATGTTCTAATCCAATGAAAGGAAACTAAGAAACTTGAAAAAAGGTTAGATTAAATGCTAATGAGAATAACCAGCATAGAAAAGAACATAAACAACATGATGAAGCTGAAAAACACAGCACGAGAACTCCATGAAGCATACACAAGTTTCAATAGCCAAATAGATCAAGTGGAAGAAAAGATATCAGAGATTGAAGATCAACTCAATGAAATAAAGCAGGAAGGAAAGATTAGAGAAAAAAAGAGTGAAAAGAAATTAACAAAGCCTCCAAGAAATATGGGATTATGTGAAAAGACCAAATCTACATTTGATCAGTGTACCTGAAAGTGATGGGGAGAATGAAACCAAATTATAAAACACTCTTCAGGATATTATCCGGGAGAAGTTCCCCAAACTAGCAAGGTAGGCCAACATTCAAATACAGGAAATACAGAGAAGTTATTTCTTGAGAAGAGCAACCCCAAGGCACGTAATCGTCAGATTCACCAAGGTTGAAATGTTTAAGTGTGAAGAAATAGCACCATGCCAACATGATATATTGTCATTATTTATCATCATATTAGTAGTATTTATTATGCCATCCTTGTATCTGTCTCCATCTTGCTGAGCTATTTTTACTCCCATTCATAAGCAGTGTCTTCCATTTTGGCTGTTAATTTGGTACCAAATTAATACTGTTTTGGTGTTACGTCAAATACTGCAGAGAAATGTAAAAATTGGAGAATAACCTGTAAGTAATCTCTATAGTATAGAGTTTTATGACTATCTTACTAAACAATAAAGTGAAATTGTTAACATGCATTTCCAAGTTTGCTTACAAATACTGTATTATTGTTACTCTTTATAGGAGACCTGTGAATCCATCCTCAATTGTGCACTGGAAGAGCTAAAGCAATTTCACGAACTGCAGAAGCCAGACCGCAAGCTCTTTGGGTTCCACTTACCTTCCAAGACACCATCTATCACCTCAGAAGCTGTGGTTCCAGAAGCTGGATTGGTTATTGACGGGAAGACACTGAATGCCATTTTCCAGGGAAAGCTGGAGAAGAAGTTTCTGGAATTGACCCAGTATTGTCGGTCTGTACTGTGCTGCCGCTCCACACCACTCCAGAAGAGTATGATAGTCAAGCTGGTGCGAGACAAGTTGCGCGTCATGACCCTTTCCATAGGTACCCATCATGCTGAGATATGGGTGGCACCTTGGCAGGGAAGATCTGATGAGAGGCTGGATCAGAGGTGGGAGGTCAGGTCTCAAAGTCAGGATGCTTAGGCTGTGAGTCGTCCTCTTAGAGGGAGACAGTTCAAAATGACAATCAAGATGCAGCAGCTGGGGGATGAAATGGGACCGTGCAACCAAGTTCTTGGGACTAGCAAGTTAGCTAAAGAACAGTCAGGACTGGCCGGGCGCAGTAGCTCACGCCTGTAATCCCAGCACTTTGGGAGGCCAAGGCGGGTGGATCACGAGGTCAAGTGATTGAGACCATCCTGGTCAACATGGTGAAATCCCGTCTCTACTACAAATACAAAAAATTAGCTGGACACAGTGGCGCGTGCCTGTAATCCCAGCTACTCAGGAGGCTGAGGCAGGAGAATTGCCTGAACCCAGGAGGCGGAGGTTGCAGTGAGCCCAGATTGCGCCACTGCACTCCAGCCTGAGTAACAAGAGCGAAACTCCGTCTCAAAAAAAAAAAAAAAAAAAAGAACTATCAGGACTTAGATGAAGGTCAAAACCAACAGAGGCCTTGAATTTAGTACATCCAGGTAGCTCAAGAAATGTTGCCATCAATGATATATACTCAGACTATCTTAATTCTGGAATGCAGATCATTTTCCCTTTAATACTTTATACATGGCACAAAATCACATATTTAAGGATGTTATTCTGAGTGTTGATGGCTGGTGGAGAGATTCTGAAGATTGGTACTGTCTTATGTTTAATTTTGTGTGTTTGTTTCTAAATATGAGGCCAGCACAAAGCATATCACCGAAAGATGCTAGCATTGGTTGATGAAGAATTTTTCAGAGGGGGCTAAACTTTAATCATGTTAGGACAGAAAAATTAAAACTGCACGCACTTAACATCTTTCAGGAACAACCAAACCCGGTTTAAAGGGATCTTCATGATCTTCTGTTACCTTCAGCCACATCTCTTGTTGTGGCCACCTTTCCCTCTCCAACATTTGCCTTTCCATGTTCCAACAAATGAAGCTGTTTACCATTCTCCATGGACCTTGTCCTCTCTCACTTCTGGGAATTTGCACAAGTTATTTCCTCTGTCAAACACTTCTTCCAATCCCACCTAACTTTGCTTCCCTCTGGGGGGTTCCCACAGCACCCAGTATTCACAGCTCACTGTTATATCTTCTGTGATGGCCTCAGTAGACCATGAGTTCCTTGAGTAGAAAAATCACGTCAGCCTAATTCACTGTTGGATCCCATGCCCAGCACATACCAAGGACATAGTAAATATTGCATTCACTTAGGGACATTCTTACCGATGGTGCCAGCCTCTCCTCCTCCTACACAGGCATGGGAAAAGATTTTCTTTCCTGACATTTCAAATAGGAACCCTATTAAACATGATCGTTTTGTTCCTGGTCTTCAGGTAAGAACAGTAGAGAATAATAAGAGTGGGACAGAAAGAAAGCAGAGAGCAAACCTGTCACAAAGACATCCTACTTTATGCCCGGAATCGTCCTCTTCAGAAATTCAGACACACACAAGGCAGTAGCCCAAGAATGATTCTCTGAGGTCAGATATTGGCTTCACTCCCACAGCAACAGAAAAAAAGCCAGTGTGGCAAGAAATAGCATGGTTTCACACCTCTAATTCTCCTGGTTCACTAACAGAAGAGGTTAAAGCTTAGATTTGTTCTGCCATGGGATGATTAAAATTATAAAAAAAAAATTATTTTAGAAAAAAGGCTACTTATGGCAAAATTTTTAAGACCAATAAATGTATCATCAGATAGCTAGGAGAAGAATCATTCTCTCCCTCCCATTCCATATTCTATACCATAATAATATAAATTTAATTTTGGCTTATTCTGAGAAAGTAGTAGAAAACAGGTAGGGCCAGGAAAAGAAGTTCAGCATAGTCTACAACAAGGGTTGGGAAACTGCGGCCTGCAGGCTAAATCCAGCCCAAAAACATGGCATGTTTTTGTATGGATACGAAGAATGATTTATTTTTCAGTGTAAAATTTATGAAAGACTAATAACCTTTCAGCAAGAACAACTGTTCAGTTTTGCTTCTTGGTTCACAAAGCCTGAAATAGTTACCACCTTACCCTTTCCAGAAAAAGTTTACTGAACTTCCATCTAAAAGATAAAGCACTGGGGAGAGTTCGGCTTCTACAGAAGGCCTTACCATATAGAGCTATCTTTGGCTACTTAAATTTAATTAAATCAAATTCACCAGCAAAATTTTTTTTTTTTAATTTTTATTGGATTTTAGGTTTTGGGGTACATGAGCAGAGCATGCAAGACAGTTGCGTAGGTACACACATGGCAGTGTGCTTTGCTTTTCTTCTCCCCTTCACTCACATTTGGCATTTCTCCCCAGGCTATCCCTCCCCACCTCCCCCTCCCACTGGCCCTCCCCTTTTCCCCCCAATAGACCCCAGTGTTTAGTACTCCCCTTTCTGTGTCCATGTGTTCTCATTTTTCATCACCCACCTATGAGTGAGAATAACCAGCAAAATTTTTATAGTCACATGTGGCTACTGGTTTCTGTATTGGACAGTGCAGATATAGAACATTTCTCTCATCACAGATCTTGAACAGTCTTGGTATAAAGACTGTGTGTATATGTGTGTGTGTGTTTGTGTGTTTCTATGCCTTACCTCCAGTTTTATGAAACAACTCAGTTCGTTGAATGGGAACTCAGTGTGATTATATTTCAAAAACACAAGTCAATCTCATTTTTGTACACTGAGAATCAAAACAGAACGTCATCCCTCTCCTTGGAAACCATTGACAATCTGATGGTTTCACTGTCCAAACTGTCCAGTTGTCTTGATCTGGTCAGTGTTTCAAGTTTGACTGAGGGAAGCGCATTGGCCCTGGAATCTGAAGGATCGAGTTCCACTTCTCCTGGGTCCTTTCTCTAGCTGGATACCCTTGCCAAGTCTCTAAGTTGCTCAGATTCTCCATTTGGTTATCAGTAAAGTTTATTATAACATTTATGAGGGCATTTTTGGGAGGGGGAATGCCCAAGTCTCTTGATTACCATTCTATCCCCAATACCTAATGTTGTGCCTAGAAAAAGACACTTAGTAAGTCCTGTATTTGTTGAATGGTAAAGAAAAAGGTAGGATTTCTTGTCTAAAGAAGAAAAGACGTCTCTCAAGCTAAGTACTACAGCAATGACTTTCTATAGAACTATTCAGAGTAATGTTAAAAGGATTCAATTATATATAACTGGGGACACTTGAGAGCTACCTCATTGTCACTGAGTAGTTGGACCAGAAATAAAGACACCTCATGACCTCTTCTTTCAGGTGATGGAGCAAATGATGTAAGCATGATTCAAGCTGCTGATATTGGAATTGGAATATCTGGACAGGAAGGCATGCAGGTATTGTTCTCCATAACTGTTCTTGTTTCCTTCCTTCCTTTCTTTGGTCCTTAGCTGAGATATAAGGAATTCTCCAGAATGTTGGAGAAACTTCTCCCTGAGAACTTCTCCCCACATCCAGAGTTGCAATGCCCTCCCTACGCAATGACAGACAGAAGGACATTTGAAATCATTTTCTAAATGACATTTTTGTCCTGACAGCCAGTTTGACCCGGAAATTGCTTGGTATACTTTCATAGTGTCAAAATTCAGCTTAGAAGAAGCATCCTAACTTGATTGTTAAATTTTCCCATTAAAACAGAGAACATTTTGTGGGTTTTCAGCCATTAACAATTGTATTTCCACCACCAGTGCAGACATTCAGCACTGCCTAAATTTTCTGATGAGGATAGAGAGCACTGACTGTGAAGTCACAGAATAGTTCTTTAAAAAGTTACCCCTTGTGTATCTCCTATATGCCAGCAATCTGTTAGACCAGAGCTATCCAATCTTTTGGCTTCCCTGGGCCACACTGGGAGAAGAATCGTATTGGGCTACACGTAAAACACACTAATACTAACTATAGCTGATGAGCTTTAAAAATATTGCAAAAATTCTCAATTTTGGGCCTCATTCAAAGCCATCTGGGCCACATGTGGCCTGCAGGTTGGACAAGTTTGTTAGACACTTCGCATTTGGTATCTCATTGAATTTTAATCATCATCACACCCTGTATGTTAGGGACTGCTTTTCCATTTTTAGATGGGGAAACTGAGGCCTGGGGAATTAGCCAAACCAAAATTTATACCAGGATTTATAAACAGGCATGTTCAGTGTTCACATTTTTTAAAGAGTACTATAAACTGTGTCTTGTTCTGAGTAATCCCAGGGGCAGAAGACATATTTCAGCTCCATGTGAAGGAAGAGCTGTCACCTATCAGCTCCATCTGTGAATGGAGCCAATGGCCTGCCTCAAGTAGGGGTGAAGGGTGTTCAGAGGATTGAAAATTGCTTGAATGGAAGCCCCCACTCTCTGGCTAACCATCACATGCCTAGCATGGTGCCTGACACGTACTGGGCCACAGTAACTGCTTATTGGATAAATGGATAAAGAACCTTCCTAGACCCTTCTGATCTGCCGTCCTTGAATTCTAGCGAGATTTGGATTTCCCAGAAGGGAGGGTGGAATGTCAGACTCTAAAAAGCTACCCAAAAGTGACCACAACAAGGGGTCTTTAGGACTCTGTTGGCCCCAGGCCTAGACCAAAGCAGCGCCCTTGAGGGAGTCCCTCTGGGGCAACAGCAGCCATGGATGGAAGCTGATATGTCTGCTCTCCCCTCTCAGGCCGTCATGTCCAGCGACTTTGCCATAGCCCGCTTTAAGCACCTCAAGAAGCTGCTGCTTGTGCACGGCCACTGGTGTTACTCACGCCTGGCCAGGATGGTGGTGTACTACCTCTATAAGAACGTGGTGAGTAGCCTATGGCATCCTCCCACCCAGGCCTTGACAGTCCTTGCCATGGGGCCAGATCTCCCCCTAGCAGTGGGCACAGCACCTCAGCATCATTAGGGAATGAGTCAGGCTGGCATGGTGTTGGATCTTGAAACTCTTCCTTAATAGCTCTGTGACCTCGAGCTAGACTCTTCACTTTCTATTTTTGTGAAGTTATTGTGAGAATTGGCAATGCTATATGAAAGGCACCTGGCACAGAGAGGGCACAAATGGCTACAAGTGTGGACTCTGGAGTCAGACACGTTGGGTTCAAATCCAGACTCTCATATATGGTAATGTTGCTAAATTTCAGTTTCATCATCTGTAAAATGGGGGTGGAGATAGCACCTTTCTCATATTTGCTACGAGGATTAAATGAGAGCTTGTATATAAAGTGATCAGCATATCATAATCATCTATAAAATTAGCCATTTTTGGTCATTGTTGTTGCTGTCACTACTCTTGGAGTTAAATCTCATAAATGAGATTATCTTATTGTCACAAAGGAGGATTCGAAGAGCTAGTCTAACCTGTGTCTTAGATTTCCTCTCCATATAGAGCCAGCTCAATGCAAGAGCTATACCCTATGCCTTGGGAGAGTGTAGATGAAAAGCACCTCACAGAATGTAAGGCTGGAGCCTGTGGCTCCAACTTGAGACCTGCACATCACTTCAGTGCCCCTGAGCTTTCTTTCAGGGAGTTCCTGGAGGGCAGGATACTAAATAAAATATCTACTTGGCAAAGATGTCTGAGGTGCGAGATTGTCTGGGCAATCTTACTTGACTCCAGCATGCTGTATGACCTTGAAGAAACTGAGGCACACAGAGATTAATTGATCTTTTCATCAATAATATGGGGAGACTGACTCTGTGTCAAGAGGCCTAGTGTCAGAGCTCTGAAAAGCATATAGCCCTATACAAACACAAACAGTAGGTTGTGTCTCCTAACAAGTATGTTGCTTTCTGTCTTGCTGATGAGGGCCCAAAGCAAACATATACCAACTGAAGAATTAAAACCATCAGAGGGTTCTTGTTTGAAAAGTCCTTTATTAACAGTGGGTATAGGAAGAAGTCAGAACATTGCTATACTAAGGGAGGGAACAAAAGACTGAGTTTTTCATTACCTAGTTCAAAGGCTTAGAATAAACCCCAAGATCCTCCAAACAGAATTTGACTCCTCCTTGAATAAGTAAAAGGAGAATATTAAGACCAGGGTGATGGAAGAGAAGCATTAGCCACGTAGCAGCTACAAAATTGCATTTTTCTCTTGCTCCAGTCTTTCTTTCAGACTCTAACACAGTCACCCTTGCTCGGAAGTGACTTTCTGTGCAAAGTTCAATGTATATGTAAATAAACAGCATGACAAACGTAATGTAAATTCAATCAACTCGTGGCAATATTATCTCAGCAAGTCTACGCAAACAATTCACTCCATCTGACTTGAAATTCACTTTGAGAGTGAAAGACTGTTTACTTAGAATTCAAAATGGCCCCATTTTTTTGGCAGCTCAAGGAATAATTCTTTTGAATAAGCACAGCCTCTTCTCTGCATTAAATTTGTGAAATAGAATAGAAAATGTTTCCAACAGCCACACTTTCAAAGCTTAAATGATATTTATTTCCAGCCCAATGCCATGCTCAAAATTGCGATACTGATGCCACATTATCTCCCTGTTGTAATTAGAAGGTGGAGAACTATGACTTCCACATCCGAAACCAATTTCAGAGGGGATTAAAACCTGGCCTGCTCTGAAATTTGAACAATGAATTAATTACTGCACTGTAGCTTCTTGATAGAAAGAGCAGGCGTCCAGTCTCAGCGATGCTGCCACAGGGCTCGATGCAGTCCCTGCAAGGTACAAAGATTCCAGTTAAGCAGAAGTGAAAATCAAGCAAGATCTTACCAGGGCCTCAGGAGGAAAGAAGCACTCTGTAATGTTAAAACTCCAGGATGAGTGTTAGAATAGAGCTAAGATCAACTACATCAATTGAAACAACAATTCAGTGTCTGCTGTGTGTCAGGAACAGGGCTGAGCAATGGGCATAGAGCAGGAATCAAGCCAATCATGGCCCATGTGAGGCTTCCTGTCTACATCTGGGCTCAGGAAGCTTTTTCTTCAAAGAACTAGACAATAATTACTTTCAGCTTTGCAGGCGGTACAGGTCTAGAAGAGTCTGATTGTGTAAGTCAAGGCAGGACTGAGAAAGTTTAGAGGTGGTTAGGGAGAAAGAACTTTGAAATTTCAGATGCCGATTGTACCACTCTCTAGCTCTGAATTTGGGCAAGAGGCAACAGTATCTCAGAGTCTTGGATTCCTCATCTGTAAAATGGGCCTAATAATGTTAATATTATTGTTAATATCAATATATGATATATTTGTACAATATATAGTACTATCAGCTCAGCAATATTAATCTGGCAAGGTTGTTAGAACAAACTATCGTGTGTATTGCACATCCAATGATATATTAGATGCTAATATACTGATGTTTATCTCACTCCTGGCACATATAGAAGGTCAAATTTTATAACTGATGTTACTACTACTAATAGCCCCTCCAAAATAACATTGACCCAGCAGTTTAGAAATAGGAGTTCCAGCTTGAACACAAAACTGCTGGATGATTCCTTGAAAGACCCGTCAGATCTCTGTGCCTCTGCCCCACATAATTGAGAAGTTCTAGTCCTAACTGCTGGACCAGCTGCTTATATGTATGACCTTGATCAAATCACCAAACCATATCTCAAAATGGTAGACAATAACAGTGACCCAGCCCATCCACAAGAGAGGAGATCTTGAGTGGGAAAAAGCTCTAGAAAAAAATGAACAATGTTTTGGCAGATTTTCTCATTCACCCTTCTGAGCTGTGTGACCATCAGGAAAGTATAGCGAAGTCAACCTTCTCATGAGGTCATCCTCCTACCAGGTGTCCTGCTCACGGTTTAGTCTTTCTATTACCCCTTCATGAGTGACATCCCTTTCTATTACCACTCTACCACCATTCATACTTCACATGCCATGGTCTAAGCACTGCTATTCCCAGCTGACAGATGATAAAATGTTTAGAAAGGTTAAGCAGTTTGTCTAAGGTCACACAGCTGGTAAGTGCCAGACTGGGGATTCAAAACGAGGCCTCTCTGCCTCCAAAATCTGTACTTTTAACCACCATAGTACAGTAAGTCCTCACTTAGTGTCATCAGTAGGTTCTTAGAAACTGTGATGTTGAATGAAACAATTATTCCAGAACTTTCCCTACATTATTTTGCTTGAAGTTGTAGTTTCTAAGAACTTATTGGCAATGTTAAGTGAAGACTTACTGTTCACTCACCTTAAACAAGTTGGTGGAGTTTCCTTCAGGTCCTGAAGAATGTTAGCAGTGATAGTAGTAACAGCAGCAGCTACTGCTCTGAGGATTAGAATTATCTCTAATCCTTACATAACCCTGCGTGAGGAATGAGGAAACCGCCACTCCAGTAGCTCCCAGGCGGCAGCAGCTGGTGACCGGCTGCACACAGGGTCTGACTCATAAGGCCATGCTCTTTGCCTGCAGTGCTATGTCAACCTGCTCTTCTGGTATCAATTCTTCTGTGGTTTCTCCGGCTCCACCATGATCGATTACTGGCAGATGATATTCTTCAATATCTTCTTTACCTCCTTGCCTCCTCTCGTCTTTGGAGTCCTGGACAAAGACATCTCTGCAGAAACCCTCCTGGCATTACCTGAGCTATACAAGAGTGGTCAGAACTCTGAGGTAAGGGGACCCCCTCCACCAAGGGTGGTGACTTCAGGTTCTTACTGACTTCTTCCGCCCCCATGGAGGCATCGGAGAAAGAGCTGTATGCCGGGGTCAGAAGCCTGCATTCTGACCACTGTTCCATCACTTTGAGTAACTCCTGTCTCCCTTTCTGACCTATTTCCCATTCGCTATTGAAGGTGTTGGACCAGACTAGTGGGTATTTTTAATTATTTCTTAATTAAATCACATATTAATATGGGACTACCCTAGTGGAAGGGGAAGAGTCATGTGGAAAGATCTATCCCTTTCAGCAGACCCCTCCAGGATCTGAGATTCAGCGAGAGAAGCCCCCAAGCCCAGTTTGGGAATCCTTGGGGATTTACAGCTACTTTGCTTTTCACTGGGTAAGGTACACAAATGCTTCTCTTTCCTATTAGGGAAGGCAAAACTTAGAACCCAAAATTACATATGTTTTAGGACTTGCTGGTATCAAATGGACTAAGACAGGCCTGAGAAGCCATCTGGTGGCTTCCTAGAAGGCCCAGAGAGGCCACACTGCAGCACTGAATGATTTGGAGAAGTCAGACAGCAGGCACTCCCAGCACCAGCAAGAAGCTGGATCGGCCAGGGGTGGTGGCTCACGCCTGTAATCCCAGCACCAGCAAGAAGCAGGATCGGTCGGGGGTGGTGGCTCACGCCTGTAATCCCAGCACTTTGGGAGGCCGAGGCTAGTGGATCACGAGGTCAAGAGATCAAGACCATCCTGGTCAACATGGTGAAACCCCATCTCTACTAAAAATACAAAAAAAAATTAGCTGGGCATGGTGGCGTGTGCCTGTAATCCCAGCTACTCAAGAGGCTGAGGTAGAATTGCCTGAACCCAGGAGGCGGAGGTTGTGGTGAGCCGAGATCACACCATTGCACTCCAGCCTGGGTAACAAGAGTGAAAAAAAAAAAAGCTGGATCAAGGGACCCTGAATGCCTTGAAAAGGGAGCTCTGGGAAGAGGGACTTTGCAATGCCAGAGAGTATCTTTGCACCTGGAGAAAAGGAGGGCAAAGCCAAATGTGGTGTTTCAAAGCTGGCAATTATTTATAGACCAGCAAGCCCAGTTGTATCCCAAAGACAAGAGGAGAAAGCAACATAGCAGCCCAAGAAGTCCGGACAAAGGGGGCATGGTAGGAGTATGTGTTCATCTTGGCCTCGTCTAAGTTTACTTTCCCATCAATGTGCTGGCTGCATAACAAATTCCTTGAGTATCTAAAAGAAGTTAATGAAGCAAAACCCAAAAATGGTAAAGGTTTCACCTTTCCCAGGGAAGGTACAAAGACTGATGCCGGAGAAGGCTTGTTTCTGAAGTTGAGCTTGAGAAACTCTTGGTAATCCGTGATTCAGGGCTATGATTGGGATCTCTCTTTCAGATGCCACTTAGAAATTTAGAATCTCTACACTTACCAAGTTTGTAGTAGCACTAGAAATACAGCAAAGAGTGATAATAACGAATAACCGAGTACTTGCTAGGCACTAAGACCTGAGTACTTACTAGGTACTAGGTTACAATTGCATTTAGTCCTCTTTAACTCCAAGGAAATAGGCTGTATTATTTTTGCCCGCATTTCATGGAAGAAAAAACGAGTTCTCTGAGCAGTTTAGTAATTTTCACAAGGTGACACAGTTGAACTGAAGTCTGTCACCCCCAAGTCTGTGCTCCTAATGACTCCATTCTATTGCCACAAACACAAGAGGCATCATAAGCGTATAGTTGCCTGTCCCGGCACTGCAAGAAAGTTGCTTGCAAAGAATAGAGGCTTCCTATAAGAGTGGTAATGATAAGTGTGTTCTCTCCTGGCAGTGCTATAACCTGTCGACTTTCTGGATTTCTATGGTGGATGCATTCTACCAGAGCCTCATCTGTTTCTTTATCCCTTACCTGGTAAGTCACGTAGTCCCATTCTAACCGCATACATTGCAGAGAGGAACTGGTCCTTTATATAAAAAGTTCCAGACTAGTAGTATCTTTCTGGACACTTTAGAGCAGAGGCTCACACAGGTGACCTGCAAGCTACATCCAACTCAAGGTGTGTGAAAAGTCCAAACACTACCTAAAGATTTTGCTTTCTGCTGGCACTTGAAAAACTGAAAGCTATATTTATACTGGATCTTTTTTTTTTCCTCATAGCAAAAAATCTAGACGACTTTGCAGCTGGGCTCACCACTTAGGCATATTCTTTAGTCTCTACCACTCCCCTTTGTCTTACACCTGGCCGTCTTTTCTCATTAACTGTTTCCTACTTCAACACTGAAGGTATTTGAATTTACTACCCTTGATTTTTATATAGACTTGTGCTTCAAAGATTAAAGAAGCTAGTGTTCAGGCAGCAAGTCCTGATAATGAGGTACTACATTATCTGAAAAAAAAAAAAAAAGCAAGAATGCAGATAGCAAGGGATACCAGCCCAATCTCAATTTGATTCCTCTGTTTAAATAGCGCAAACTTAGGTAGCAAACAATATATGTATTCTTTCCGGACTTAGGGAACAGGATCGGAAACAGTTACCACCAGGTAAACACTGTTGCTTATCCAGCCTCTGGGTTCATATTCTTTCATAATTAGCAAGATTACGGTGTTAGAGGAGGCAGGGATCTTAGCACTTTGCTTGAATTTCCTGGCTTAAAATATCCTCCCTAGCCAGGTCTCTGCTTGGCTTTTCTGCTTTATCTTTTGCCCTTGAATATGTGCTACAGACCTACAATGTAGGACTCCTTCGGAGTTCTACAAACCCTCTGTGTTCACCCTTAGTTTTGACCTTTGCTAAAAACTGCATTTACCCTCTCTTTCCAAGTGATTAACTCCTCTTATTCTGATCTCAGCTAATCTATCCTCGCTTCTGTGTTTCCAGGATACCTTGTACTTGCCTCTATTACAGCACTTACTTCCTTAAATTGTCCAAATCTGACCTGCTAATAGACAAAACTCATTTTGTGTGCAAACACAGAAGTATCCTCAGCTGTTAGCATAGTGTTTGATGGGCTTTCAGAGAATTCTTCCTTCATTCATTCCACAATGGTTTTACAATCTCCATCTTGGCTTCCTCTTACAAAAACCATTTCTAAATTAGTCCTATCAGTTCCTTTCTTGTCTTGATCTGTTCCACGGATCAGTACCACGTGGATAGTAGCTAGGTACCTCCTTCTTCCCCATTGATAACTGCCTTCATTGATGCTCTATCATCATGGTGTCAAAGCCAAAGTTTTAAGTCCACAGATATATCTGATAATGACTGTCTGTTCCTCCTCTGCAGACCTATAGGGGCTCTGATATAGATGTCTTTACTTTTGGGACACCAATCAACACCATCTCCCTCACCACAATCCTCTTGCACCAGGCAATGGAAATGAAGACATGGGTAAGTGTCACTGGGCCCCTTTGGCTTAAAAATTGTGCTCCTGTCCATTGACTATACTCAAATTTCTGAATTGTTTCACTCTGTGTTATTGATCTACTTAAATACACACTAAGCTCCTATCTAAATCCCACCTGTACAGAGAAGAAAGAGGTGAAAAAGATAAAATTCTGGCCTCAACTTGCTTTTCATCTAGCCAGGATGTTAAAACACATATAAAATAAGGAGACAATTAGTTGCAAAAATAGGTAATACCAATTGATAAAAGGTTCAGGGGTATGGCTAGACATGGTGGCTCACGCCTGTAATCCCAGCACTTTGGGAGACCGAGGTGGATAGATCACCTGAGATCAGGAGGTTGAGACCAACCTGGCCAGCATGGTGAAACCTTGTCACTACTAAAAATAAAAAATTAGCTGGGTGTGGTAGCAGGCACTACCTCTACTCAGGAGGCTGAGGTAGGAGAATTGCTTGAACTCAGGAGGCAGAAGTTGCAGTAAGCCAAGGTCGTACCACCACATTTCAGCCTGGGTAACACAGCAAGACTCCATCTCAAAAAAAAGTTCAGGGGTGTTTCAGAGACAAGGAAAACACTGACCATACATACCTGAGGCTGTGTTAGGAGGGAATTCTACCTATTTAATTTTAATTTTAGAGTGAATAATTAGAAACCTACCTCCAGGTAACCATATCTCAAGCATATTCAAATATCACATTTTGATATCTAAGAAGGCACTGTCACCTTTTTGACTGGATTCTTCCAGTCAGTGGTAACTATAAAAACAAATAGCATACAATTCTATGCCCAGTGTCTCTACGTGACTAGCATGTATTGTTTAACCTCCCAGAGCCCTGTGTGTTAGGTGTTTTTTTTAATTCCCATTTTACAGATTTAGAAATATGGTAGATGCAATAAGGTTAAATTTGCCAAAGCAGTGCAAGATAGAAGCAAGTTTTGAACCCTGGCAGTTTCATGTGAGCTGTTAACATCCATGCTAACAGTGTAAGTAGATAAGATTGAATGGTACACGGAGACCACTTTACAGAAGGATTTGTCCTTAGCCATGCTGAAATGTCTTTCTGGACACACAAGTATTAAAAATTTGGAAAATGGCCTCAAGTAGGCTCAATGTGTTCCTCCATTCTGCAATGGAACTCCCTACTCCAACCTCCTACCACCACCATCACAAGCTAAAAGCGGGCCATGACCAGCTGGACAGTGGCCAATAAGAGCCACTCAAGGGTAGTTTTGGATCATAGAGTTCTCATTTTGAAAACCCCCTTTCCTATTCAGCGTAGTATTGGAAGTTTTGGCCAGGGCAATCAGGCATGAGAAATAAAGCATATTCAAATAGGAAGAGACAAAGTAAAATTGTCTGTTTACAGATGACATGATTGTATATTTAAAAAAAAATTTTCTCAGCCCAAAAACTCCTTAAGCTGATAAGCAACTTTAGCAAAATCTCAGGATACAGTCAATGTGCAAAAATCACAAGCATTCATATACACCACCAATAGACAAGCAGAGAACCAAATTATGAATGAACTTCCATTCACAGTTGCTACAAAGAAAATGAAAAATACCTAGGAATGCAGCTAACTAGGGAAGTGAAGGATGTCTTCAAGATGAACTTCAAACCACTGCTCCAGGAAATAAGAAAGGACACAAACAAATGGAAAAAACATTCCATCCTTATGGATAGGAACAATCAATATGGTGACAATGGCTATACTGCCCTAAGTAGTACTATAGATTCAATGCTATTCCCATCAAACTACTATCAATATTCTTCACAGAATTAGAAAAAAACTACTTTAAATTTTATATGGAACCAAAAAAGAGCCCGTATAGCCAAGACAATCCTAACCAAAAAGAATAAAGCTGGAGGCATCACACAATCTGACTTCAAACTATACAGAAAGGCTACAGTAACCAAAATGGACAAATAAACCAATGGAACAGAACAGAGACATCAAATAACACCACATATCTACAACAATCTAATCTTCAATAAACCAGATAAGAACAAGCAAACGGGAAAAGATTCCCTATTTACTAATTGGTGCTGAGAAAACGGGCTAGCCATATACAGAAAACAAAGTGGACACCTTCCTTATGCCTTATACAAAAATTAACTCAAGATGGATTAAAGACTTAAATGTAAAACCCAAAACCATAAAAGCCCTAGAAGAAAATCTAGGCAATGCCATTCAGGACATAGGCATGGGCAAAGATTTCATGATGAAAATACCAAAAGCAATTGCAACAAAAATGAATATTGACAAGTGGGATCTAATTAAAGAGCTTCTGCATAGCAAAAGAAACTACCATTAGGATGAATAGGTAATCTACAGAATGGGAGAAAACTTTTGCAATCTACCCATCTGACAAAGGCCTAATACCCAGAATCTACAAGGAACTTATACAAATTTACAAGGAAAAAAAAATCCCATCAAAAAGTGGGCAAAACATATGAACACACACCTCTCAAAAGATGACACTTAATGTGGTGACAAACATGAAAGAAGCTCAACATCACTGATTATTAGAGAAATGCAATCAAAACCACAATTAGATTCCATTTCATGCCTGTCAGAATGGCAAGTATTAAAAAGTCAAGAAACAGTAGATGCTGGTGAGGCTGTGGGGAAATAGGAATGTTTTTACAACTGAGTGGATTGATGGGAGTGTAAATTAGTTTAACCATTGTGAAAGTCTGGCAATTCCTCAAGGATCTAGAACCAGAAATACAATTTGACCCAGCAATCCCATTACTGGGGATATACCCAAAAAAATATAAATCATTCTACTATAAAGACACATACACATGTATGTTTATTGAAGCACTATTTACAATAGCAAACACATGGAACCAACCCAAATGCCCAACAATAATAGATTGGATAAAGAAAATGTAGTACACATACACCATAGAATACTATGCAGTCATAAAAAAGAACAAGATAATGTCCTTTGCAAGGACATGGATAAAGCTGGAAACCATCATCCTTAGCAAACCAACAAGAACAGAAAAGCAAACACGACATGTTCTCACTTTTAAGTGGCAGATGAACAATGAGAACACATGGACACAAGAAGGGGAACATCACACACTGGGGACTGTCAGGAGGTGGTGAACAAGAGGAGGGAGAGCATGCAGGGCTTAAAACCTAGATGACAGGTTGATAGATGCAGCAAACCACCATGGCATATGTATACCTAGGTAACAAACCTGCACATTCTGCATATGTATCCCGAACTTAAAATAAAAACTTTTAAAGCCCTCTGCTCCAATCTGTGCCAATGACAGGCAGAATGAAGTGACAAGACAAAAGAAAGGCATAGCCAGGCTTAAGTACAGGACAGTTTTCTCCATGGGCCAGAAACACCAGACAGGGGCTGCAATACAATGAGAAAGAGAAGGGGAAGAGAAGGCACTGGGAAGGTTCAAACTGCAGACTTTCTGGAAACCAGGACAGGACACAGATCTTGACAATGGGGACTCTGGCTCCTATGGGGTAGGGCAGTCTGAAACCCCATCTACTACTGGGTCTAAAGTTCTTCTGCTCAAGAAAGAAACCTAAGGGAGAGATAACAATGGCAAGCTGCTTGGAGGTATAGTTTGCCAGACACTGATACTAGAAACCACCAAGCTAAGGAAACATTTAGAATTCTTGAAAATAAGATATAGTCATTGAAATTAAAACTACAATTTGTAGGATCCACTCTAGATCAGACACTACCAAAAAAAGAAAGTGCCAAATTGAAATGTAGTTTTAGGAGCTTATCCAGAATGATACATAAATATGAAAATAATTAAGAGGAAATGGTGGCTGGAACAAATGGGCAGCCTCTTTAAAGAGGAATCTCAGGAGGAAAAAAGAATGATGGAGAAGCAATATTTGAAGAAATTGTCATTGAGAATGAAAATATCAAAAATCTGGATGTATTGCCTAGATATTTCATAATTAAACTGTACAATGTAAAAGATACAGAGACAACCCTTAAGTCTGCCAGAGACTATAGACAAATTACCTGAAAAGGAACAGCTAGGTTGATGACCAAACAATAAAAGCCACAAAGACAATGTAGTAACAGCTACACTATCGGGGGGGGGGCAATCCTGAGCCAATTAGGAGAAGCTCAGGATTGCAGCTCCCAGCAAAAGCATGGGGGGTGAGTGTACGCTGCATTTCCAGATGGATTCTTATTGTCCACAGACCAGGAGATTCCCAGGTGGAGGAACCCCATGGGTTGCCAGCATGGCTGGTTTGGCTGGCATGGCTGTTTTGCCGGCACCCAAATGCAGAAGTCCTCCACACAAAATACACGGGTACCGGTGCCGTTTTAGCTGGCAATTGGAACTCCTGGGAGACAGAGTCACCCATTCATCTGATTAAAAAGGGGACTGAAACAGGGAGCCAGGCCAGGAGATTCCCAGGCAAAAAAGTGCCACAAATCTCACCACGGCTGTTTCAGCTAGTACAGTGGGTTGCTGCATGGGAAATCACACAGATCCTGGCACCTTTTCAACAGGCGAATAGAAAACCTGGGAGAGAGTCGACTGTTCAACCAAAAAAAAAAAAAAAAAGAAGAAGAAGAAGAAAAGCTCTGAGGCAAGGAGCCAGGTAATCAGGCTTGGCTGGCCCCACCTCCACAAAAAAACAGCAATTTGGAAATGCTCTGGATTGAGAGTTTCACAGCAAGCACAGCTGAACCTGGGATGGTCCAGCTCTGTCAGGGAGGGGCGTCTGCCATTACCAAGGCAGCCCACCACTACAGAGGTAGTTTGCCATTGCTGAGGCAGCCCACCATTGCCGAGGCAGCCCCCCATTACAGAGACAGTCCTCCATTATAGAGATGGGCTGCCATTGCCGAGGCAGTTCTAACTACACTCGTATAAACATAACTACAGGGAAGTTCACATGGCAGCTGGGCAGAGCCCACAGCAGCTCAGCAAAGCCTTGCCAGCAGACAGTGACTAGGCTGCCTCCTCACTGGG